TTGTCCTGATTGGTGACATTAAATGTCATGTCAGAGTCAGAATCCAAGGCTGTCGCTATGTTAAGGCTGTTTTTATGGGTTCTGTTGGTTTTTCCTAAAAACCTGTCGGATAGCAGGTTTAGGATTGTTAAGGGTCAGATTATCGTGTCGTGATAAGTGAATTTTGCCAATAACACTTTCATACTCTGTAATGTTGGGTTTTTTGTGTCTTGTTCAAACATTGTTTTTCACAGTCATCTTTGGGCAGTTTTATTTTGTTTTGGTTTTTTGGATAAAAGATCTTTTACTTTAATCTAATTTAACTGTAGTGGGGGTTGTGTACGTCCTGCTGGGCTGACTCACCTTCCCCCACCATGGACACTCCTATAGACATGCCCATGAACTTGCTCTTGGTCCACACGTGGGCGTTGACGCACATCCTCCGCTCCCGGCACTCGCAGTAAAACCCCGACACCGGAGGATGATGGGAAACCTGCTCGGCCACAAAGCGGACCCTGTAGCAGCCCCCCGGCGAGTCGTCGCCCTGCTGAGCGTTGTTCGGGCCCCTGCTGGGCTCCCTGGACGAGCCCTGGTTGGACCTGACCAGAGGCTTGACTTTGTCCCGAGGAACCTCCCAGGAGCAGTGGAAGGTCTCCCCCAGCACCGGGTTGTAGGGCTTCTTGGCCACGGCGCCTTTCCGGCCCTCATGGAAGGCGGTCAGGTAATACTCCACAAAGCGAACTATTCGGTCCTCGGCCGTGGCTCCGGCTGTGATCGACAGGAACATGTCTGGGTGGGCCATGAAGTTGGCGTACATCTCCAGCAGTGATCGCTTCTCCAGGATGAAGGTAGGCAACACCACCTGGGCAGGAAACACAGAAAAGGTCAATGTTTGGACCAATGGACTTTATTTTCATAAGATAAGACAAGACAAGGTAAGTTAAGTCAAAGTTAAGATAAGATAAGATAAGATAGGACAAGACAAGTTAAGTAAGATAAGATAAGTCAAAGCTAAGACAAGTTAAGTCAAAGTTAAGTTAAATCAAGTCAAGTCAAAGTTAGGTTAAGATAAGTCAAGTCAAGATAAGTTAGGTTAAGACAAGTTAAATTAAGACATGACAAGTCAAGTCAAGTCAAAGTTAAGTTAAGTTAAGTTAAGTTAAGTTAAGTTAAGTCAAGATAAGATAAGATAAGATAAGATAAGATAAGATAAGATAAGACAAGACAGGACAAGACAAGTTAAGTTAAGATAAGATAAGTCAATTCAAGTCAAAGTTAACAAGTCAAGTCAAAGTTAAGTTAAGTCAAGTCAAGATAAGATAAGATAAGAATTCTGAAGCTCTACTCTACAGAATTCCCAGCTGGAGGGTCGATGTGTCGGTGTGTCGGTGTGTTGGTGAGTTGGCATGTCGGCGTTTCGTACCCGTGTGAGGTCCATGCCCAGCTTGAGCTGAGAGAGCAGGTGGAGGATGATGCTCCGCTGGTCGTCCAGGACGCCCAGGTCCTCCTCCTCGTTGTCCTCCGTGTCCGTCACCTCCTCAGCCGGGCTGATGTCTTCCAGCCCTGGGTGGTGCTGTGATGAAGAAGAGGGGAAATTCAACCTTTTTAATCTGAATGACAACCTCAGAGCACATCAGTTACTACTGAGGATGTAAAACTTATAAACGCTGAAGTATTCTTACAACATAGTTTTTAACAATCAGTACCTAAATGGGAGTAAATGGTCTGTCTGTTGGGGACTACGTTCAGCAGCCGAACTACAGCGTCCATGTTTATTATAATAAAGAAACGTGTCCCCCAGTGCAGCTTAGTGTGTCTCAGTGATCTGTGTTTCGTAGTTTTTTGGCAACAATTGAGCATCATATGATATAACAGCCTCAGCTGCACAGATCATTCTGGTCAGCAGGATTAATCCACTGTTGTTTGGGTTTTGTTGACAGTACGAGTGATCCGGACTACTGTCAAGCTTCTCTTTTAGCAAGAATGTTTTAATCTTTCCCCTCATCTTTTGTGTTCTGAAATTCTGGATATACTTACACGTTCAAACCTCTAAAATAAAGATGCAAATTAAACATTTTAGTGAACGGCTGCAGGGAAGAATGTATGAAAGCAGTGTTGATCCAGATTCATAGTAGGAGGCTGTCATATTGTTCTTCTGGTCTAATCCTTTCTATTGGACATGTATATCACATGACTCACTAGTTTGTACATTAAAGGGCTTTTTCCCAGGAGACTGGAGGTGGACTCCCACGTAGGAACGTTGATTTTTGTGGTAATTCAACCTATTTTCTTTCCGAGGACGTCAAATATTGTTGTTAAAGCCGTCAGTATGTTGCGCTGCTGTGGCTCAGGTGGTAGAGCAGGTTGTCCTCCAGTCACAAGGTTGGCGGTTCAATCCCCCGCCCACCTTGCATGGCAGCTCTGTCGCCATTGGTGTATGAATATGGGTGAATGAGAAACACATTGTGAAGTGCTTTGGATAAAAGCGCTATATATTTATGTGATACTCATGTAGGAGCTTTTCTGTTTAAACGTTGGCGTTTGTTTTATCTAAAGTTTTGTTTTCATTCACTGTTTGGTTAAGTTGAGGCACCAAACCTACCTGGTTAAATACAGGAAAGGGTCATGAGTTAGGTTGAAATAGACCCTTTCACGACATTAACTGCATGTTGGAAGGGAAACACGTCTTTGCTTAAAGTTAGTGGCATCTATTCCTGACATTTACATATCTGTAGAGGTCTATCAGATTACTCTATGTGGTGAAAAATGATGCTGAAGCAAACCGAATGTCACACCAAATGGTCACGGCAAAGTGGCCGTTGGTGACGAGCTAATTTTTACATTTTCAGTCGCTGTTTTCGGTCGCTGTTTGGTTCACGCTACAGAACTGCTTGGTTAAGTTGAGGAGAAGAACATAGTTTGGGTTAAAAGGAAACTCCAATGGTTTTCTAGGCTGTCTGAAAAATGTAAGAAACTCACAATAGCGCTTTGACAAGGCGTCCCAAGTAAAACAGCTAAAACCGCCCAAGGATTCTACGTTTGATCTGGCCAAGCTAAATACTCCACTTCTCAATCTGACTCCTAAAAAGGCCAAAATAAGGAAGATAAAGTCGTTTTCTTCCACCAACACAGTATCAGTGTTAAGGTCACGCAACTCATTCAGACGCCAGCTCACGACCTGTGACACAACCGGCCTATAAATACCGAAGGAGAAGAGCAATTACCAATTATTAGTTTGCTTTTCACTGCGGCCCATTCGTGCCCATTCAGCCGCATCGACCTGCCTTTCAAGCCACTTTCAGCGCTTCATAAGGCACCAGGAGCATTTCTCTGCGAAGCCCTGAGTGCCTCTTGTTTGCTGCTAAGAGCCTTCAGTGCCGACCTTCACCGGGCCGGCGCTGGTTGGAGCGGACACAAGTCGTGTCCTTCGTTTGTGTTCCATCATTCGACTGGAAACGGATCCAGTGGAGTTTAAACAAGAGCTGATGCCTTTGATATCTCCCGCAGCAACTTGGGGCAGGAAGGAAGACGATAAGAAAAAAAAAACAGCAAGAAAGAGGTTGATGTATAATGCAGAAAGTGCTCCCGAGCCTGTGGGCAACAACAACTCTCTGCGCCACCCCTCTGCTCTTTATCCTCAGCTCCTCTGTGTTCTTATGTACGAACAGCTACTGGTACATGTGTGTCCTGTTGTCCAACTTGGGGATAATTTATTTTAGTGATGCTGCAAAAAAAAAAAAGCAAAATAAGCAGAACATTGAGTGTAAATCTGGACTTCATGGCAGGATAACTGCATATGGAGCTCCTGCAGAGAGAAACACAGAAAAAAAAAAAAAACGAGAGAGATTTCCAGAGTGGCTGCCTGTCACCTGAATATTTCATTCCATGCATGCATGCCAGCAGCTCCACATATCCGCTCACACATGCACGCACCGAGCACACCGTGTGCGCCGAAACATTTTGCACAGAAGACGCGAGCATGCATGAGCACACAGGAGTCCCTGGAGCTGGCTGGTTGGCTCTCGGAGCAGAGCGATATATATAGAAGTGAGAGGGGAAAAGAAAAGAGAGAAAAACAGGGAGGTAGGGGGAGGACTGTTATGATTTCAGTGGTTCTAACTAATTAAAGAGGCTCCTGACAGAAACAGGAAATTACTGCTGAAGAGGTCAGAGCGTCTCTGCGGAAAACCCTCCAGCAGACATGTTGGTGGCTGGCATTTGCTGAGACTCTTTATTGCAGTTTAACTTGTCCAGAAGTGGATAATAATGCGTCTCAAATTATGAAAATGATGAGGAGAGTGGGGGAGGAGGAGAATAAATCTAAAAGGTTTGCAGCAAAAACTACTTAATTCTAGTATTGTGTAATGCTCTAATTTTCTGTCATACATCAGAAAACACGCGTAGCTGCAAGAACGTGTGCATTAGTTCACATATTTGAACCAGCCTGCACAAACTGTGACGTAGCGCTCCATCCAAAGCTTAAAATTGTGATCCATCCATCATCTCTACACCTTAATCCTCACTCAGGTCGTGGGGGGCTGGAATCTATCCCAGCTGACTCAGAGTGAAGGCAGGTTCACCTGGACAGGTAACCAGTCTATCACAGGGCTACACTTAGAGACAGACAACCAAGCACACTCACATTCACACCTACGGACAATTTACAATCACCAATTAACCTCAGCAAGTTTCTGGACTGTGGGAGGAAGCCGGAGAACCCGGAGAGAACCCACGCTGCACGGGGAGAACATGGAGACTCCACGCAGGAAGATCCCGGGTGTCCTCACCGGGACGCCAATCAGCGACCTTCTTGCTAACCGAGACACCTTGCAGAACTTGCAATAACTAGATCCTTTAAAAAACTGAAATTAATCTGAAGCTGTGACCATCAGTCATGTGACAAGGATTCTGGGATATTTCGGTTGAACTGCAGGATGTGCAGCAGACACAAAGCAGACAGGAAGGAGGAAAACTAATTAAACATGTAAATCATCTCTAGTGTGCGGAGTTCGTGTTATTTTGCAACACTTGTGGAAACTTTGCAAAAGCTTCTGTATGTTGATTTTAGTTTTTTCATTCTTGTACAATAAACAATAAAAGAAATTCCACTTCAGGTGTTTATGATTTATGGCGTTCTGACTGTGTCATTTTTCATAGAAGACGTTTCTGAGTTCTTTCCACTTCTGGCCATTTGTGCTTTTTCCACAGAGGTGAAGGACTTTTTATATTACAGTGAAAAATGAGCCCAGAGTAAGTAAAAAAACTGCCCGAGGTCCAGCAGCAGGACAACACACAACATCATAATTTATTAATGAGAGCAGATTTAAGTTTTATAATAACATGAAAAGTAACCAAACCTGGTAAATAAATGACGAGTAAAATACATTTCCCTCCAAAATGCAGTGTTAAGCAGCAAAATCCCCCCAAAAATTTCACGATAATCCTACTTAGGTACAGCCCTTATGTAAATGTACCGGTGCATTCCTTTAATCTCTTTAAAAAGGCTGCTTTATGACACAGTTGTAGTCACTTCTTTCATAACCTCGGCTAGATACGGTATAAATCAGAGTCGGTGGAGGGCTGCTATTCCACCTTTTTCCATTTGAAAAACCATCTCAGCAGTTCTTTCAGCTGCTGAAAATGTTTATCTCCAGAACAAGCCCCGCCGGCTAGTTTCTTCTATAATGTATGAAGTCAACAACGGCGCTCGGTGTCGGAGGAAAACTATGCTTCCCGTTTCAGATCAGGGATGTTTACAGCTAAAATGCACTCAGTGCACGCTGGGTAATCCCTCAGGCTGCATCTACACTACTCACCCCAAATCTGAAAGAGATGCAAAGACAAACTGTGCAAGGATGCGTGCACAAACACAAATGCCAGCTTGTGAACACTCACGCTGCATTGCTGTGTCGCTACAGGCTTGACCTGCATGAAGCTGGATCTCATCTCCAAACAGGGGGCAAAAAGTAGTGGAGTCACCTCAGGTAAACACCAACAGTCAAAATCCAGCAGTAGGAGAGAAGTTGAAGCTCCACAAACAGGATGGTGCAAAATCCAGTTCCAGAGGCGTTGTGTCAGCGCTGAACCTGCCCAAATCTGGGTCTGCTGAGGGCTTTAAAGCTCTGACGGGCCCCTCGGAAAGAAAAAAAAGCAAACTGTCTTCCTCCTCCTCATCTGAATTAGCTGCCTGAGTGAGCAGCCTTCTTAAAGGAGTCCTGGGTCTTTGTCAGAGCGACCGGCCGGGCGAAGCTGGTGAGCGGCTGTGCGTGACTAGCAGAGCCTCTCTCCTCTCTGCCCACCACCCACTCTGAAAAAACAGGGAGGAGGCAGAGAGGAGCTGAGGGAAAGTCCCAGTGACGTCTCCCTCTACGCCCTCCCATCATCCCTCTGCTGTGCTTCCCTACATCTCTTTCCATTTTTACCTCCTCCTCCTCCCCCCTCTCTCCTCATCACTCGTTCCTCCTCCTCCCTCCTGTCCTCCGCCGTCACGGCTTCCCTGCCTCCCTCTACACCTCTGCTTCTCCTTCTGAACTCCACTCTGAATCCATTTTCCTTTTAATTGAGTCCAATCTT